ACTTCTAAAAGATTGTACACAACAGCATCTCTCTGACTTGAATACAATGGACAAAAGGCATGACATGGAAAAGCAAATACTCCATGTCACACAAGAGGTATTTGGCTACAATCACTGGGGGGGTCCAGAATAGAAATATGCTCGTCAGTAATGGGAATGGCATTTACAGAAGCAACATATTTATAAGCAGCCAAGACCATGCTAATCCCACTACTAATCAAATCTTTGACAAACCTGCTTCCGAAGATGCAGTTGTGCCCTAAAAGATCCTTTCCTTCCAAAACCTCTCAAGAAAGGTGAAGAACATGAGTTTACCCAGGATTTCAGAAAAGGAGGTATGGAATCAGTAACCTGCGCTGCAGGGATGCCTGTACACCAGCTCCTGGTCTCCCCCGCTATACCAGGGTGGGCAGATCATGCTGCAGGAACAGCAGTGAGAGACTTTTTTGAAGTCCCTCAAGCAGGTAAGAATTTTCCCTTCTCCTCCCTTTACCTCTGTGCTTACTTGCACAGTCTCTTCCTTCCTTTCCCATTCTCTTCTGCCAGGTGCCAAGCTGGGTGCACTCTGTTCACTGCTCTCCTACCCGGTGGCAGTAGAACAGCACAGCCCCTTATACTGCCGGACAAAGGGCGCTACCTCCATGGCTTCCCTGCTGCTGCTGCTGTCAGGGGGACCCACCCTGGCCATACTGGTAGGTGCTGCCCGTGCCACGAAATTGCGGTTAGCCACTGGGCAGGCAGATGGCAATGGGGGAGCTGTAGGGGTAGCACCCCACACTTGGTACACGAGGCCATGTTGTGCTGCTGCCGCCAGGTACAGGAACAGTGAGCAGGGTGTGCCCAGCTCTGTGCCTGGCAGCCCAGGGGATGCAGGTAATAGTGCTCGGGGCTGAAGGGGAGAGCTTGTGCTATGCACAGGAGGGGTCAGCTTGGGTGCTGCTCTCCAGCAGGTAGAAGGGGCTGCCAGGCAGGAGCTGCATGCTCAGCATGGCTCTGGCTTGGGCTAGCGCAGACACACTTGAGCTGCTTCTCCTGCCCCACCCCAGCCTGGGTCCCTCTGCTTGGTAGGGCTCACATCCAGGATAGAGCCACCACCACCGTGATCCCTCTGTGTGTGACCCCAACTTGGGCTTGGGGCCATTTTGCTTCCCTCCCTCCCCCCAATCTGGCCTTTGCTCCTGGATTGCCCCAAGCAAAACCCTGATCCTGACAGCTGGGAAGGAGCAGCACAATCACCCTCTGACTGGGAGGGAGGCTCCGGGGGCCCAGGCTCTGCTGAGCCACAAGCAAGGGGCAACAGCTGAGCAGACACAGGCAGATTAACTCATGGGCCAGCTGGGCCCAGGCCCAGGTGCCCTAGGATGCCTGAAGGGTAGGCAGGGGCGAGAAGCAGGGTAGCTTGGTAGGACACAGCGGGCCATGGCTGCCAGGTGCTGGGTGGAGTGTGGGTTGCAACTGTGCTGGCGCCCTGGGAGTGGCCAGAGCTGCTGGCAGCAAGGAGCGGAGCTGGGCACACTGCATGGCTGGGACCTGCCGGCAGTGGGGCTGCCTCAGCACAGCCAGTTCCCAGCCTGGGGCCAGCCACAATCCTGCATATTTGCCAGATGCCTCTGCAGCTGGACTCAGCTGATGCAGGGTGAGGGGCCATCCCTGCAGTTTGGTCAATGCTGCATGCACCTGGCAGGCAGCAGCTCTGCAGCTCGGCACCACCTGGCTGTGGGGCAATATTGTGTGGGGTCCTGCACGACCAAGCCTGGGCTCCAGCTCCAGGGTGGACCTGTGGGCAGGGGTGGCCGTGGCCTGCGGGGCAGCACGTCCCACTCTTGATGCTGCTCCTGGTGTGCCAGCCAGGGATGGAGCCCACAGCTGCAGGGCAAGGCGTGGGTCAGGGTGAGGACTGGCCCATTGATGGGGGGGAGGGGGTAGGCCCTAATGAATCTTAATCAGCCTCTGCAGGAAGACCCCAGCTGGGGTGCCTGCCAGTGGGAAAGGGGAGGCAAGGGGGTTTAATCTTCCTCTGCCTTAACCTGCTGTCCCACACCCCCTCCATTCCAGTGGGGAAAAGTCTGGCAGGGGCTGCTCTGCACCCCACCCCCTCCCCCAGGCAGATCGGGTTGTGTCCCCAGCACACCCACCCCGTTTTCAGCCAGCCATCACTGCTCCAGCTAGAGAGCAGAGGGGAGAGGCCAACCCTGCTCTGCTCCAGCAGACAGCACAGCCCAGTCCAGGCCTGCAAAGCATGCTGGGGGACTGTGATTTAACTTGAACCAGGAAGGAGTATGGGACAGAAGTTCCATAAACTGGTTTGACCTAAATCAGTTACATCTTATACTACATTCAACCAGGCTTATCTTAGTTTTGGCCATTTTGAAACTTGTTTATGCGCACTAAACTTACGTTCTGTTACAGGTTTAAACCAGTTTCTGATCACTTAAACCAGTTTATGTATAATTTCTGTCCTTAGTCTATCAGTTCTCCAGTGAGTTCCATCCCATGTTAATGTTCTTTAATCTGATCATCTGTCCATAATTTTAGCACTAAGCTACCTAAAGTCAGACCAGCTATACTTTAAGCAACTTCAATTTCCCAATTGCTTTGAAATGGATAAAAGTATACTGAGGAGCAGCAAAATTCAGCAAGTGTGGAAGTTCAGTTTTCACAGACATGAAATGTACTCAAACCCTCTGTGCTCTGAAATCAGGTTTATACCTCTGATAACTTCCTCCCTGTTACGTGACTTTCAGTGTTTTCTAGTTTCAGCTATGTCATGAAAGTGCTATTACTGCACATAATTAGCATGCACTCGATACTTCAGTTTCTAGTCTCTGGCTGCAAAAAGATAATGCCAAGAAGAAACAGAAACAAAAAGGTGAATGTTTGCATAACTCAAAAATGGTTGCGGTTTGGTCTGAATAAAGGCCAAGTTCAGTTTATATTTGGGTTTTTTTGTACCTGTCTAGCTTTCTAAATTATAGGACCAAACTCATGTAAGGTCAGACAAAATGAAAAAAGCACCAGCTTATTTCAAGATATAAAAAAAAAGCACCAGCTTATTTCTTAGTATGTACGTTTGAATACCATGTTCAATATAACAGAAAGGTCTCCCATATTACTGCACATAACTAGATCGGAAAAAAACAATCATCCAAAAGACTTCTCTGCAGTCCTCTGCTAAAATTCACACAACAGACTTTTCATGTAGCCTCCCACTACCACCCAAATTAAATTCAATCATGCTTTGTTCTCTTAAGACAGAAGCTATATCATGTAATATTAATAAGTCCTCTCTGTGAGGAACGTCCCTTAGCTTACATCCGTATCTACCATCATCCCACGTAAAACCTGGTGTTCCCTTAATTATATCGCAGATGCAAAATCACAAAGGTGAGGTTTTAAAAAGTTCTCTATCATAAAGAGATTAGCCAAACACACTTTGACTTATATTCACCACAATGCTGGGGTGGACACAGGCACATCAGCACTATTTAAGGTACATATGAAGAACGTACATCCGTTTTTCAGGGTAGAGAGGATGCTGCCTGTAGCCCCTGAAGCAGCACAATGTTTTATGTTTCTGAACTGTCATTATTCTTGTATCCTTTATTTTGAGTCTATGTCCCAGACTTAAGCTTTGGTAAATCAAAATATCACTGGTACAGTAATTAAATTAAGAGAACTGCATTAATAAAAATAAATATAAAAAGTATTTGTTTTGTAAAGAAAAACAAGAATTTGCTGATAGGAAGCCAAATGAAAGGAACAGAAACACTGAATATAAGTAAAATGAAAAGATGCATTTAGGTCTTGTATTTATAAGAACTGTCTATTCATGTCTTGTATTTATAAGAGCCTATAATAAATTAGATATCTGAATACCCATCAAACCTATTCAACTGAAATAACTTTCAGAATGTATTTTTAAGGTGGTTGATGCATTAAAAATGGAACAGGAACCTTTTTAAAAATTATAAATGAATTTTCCAAGGCCTTGTGTGACTCTTGAGACTGGACTCTAAAAAACTAAGATGATCATAGAAAAGCTATGATCATGAATCTTATTTTGCTATGTATGCCATTTACTACCATTTATAGTGATAAAAGGTATTAAACTAATTTGCTTTTTCAAATTATTTCTTTTAATGACTAAAGACTGGCTAGAACTGTTCTGGCACACACTACTAGATTTTGACGGGTAATTGAAAGTTTCCATTTTAAAAAAGGAAATATTTCCAAACAGTAAATTATCTCATTACCCTGTAAAATTGTCACAAAATGTAGCAAATGCATGTGAAGACTGTTAAACTAGTTCTTGGTGTGTTTTGCCTGCTGATCTATCTATCATTAGGTACTTTTTCCCGTCTTTAATTATTTTCCATGCGAACAGCTGAAAATAAGCCAGTCTATAACATTCACTGAAACCAATACATTGTTAACCTCCCCCAGTATTTCAGGATTTGTAATAGCAAAGAAGAGACCATCTAGGTCCTTTTTTTGCATTTCATTTGCCTAATCTAACATGTAAGATCATTGTAACCACTCACCTTACTAATACTATCTTCAGGGCTCTCTAGGCCAACATCTCCTGAACAAATAACTACAATAAGTCATATCTTTGTACTCAACTATGCTTTATTGCAGCACAAAACTGCTTGGCTCCACAGATCATCTCGACAGGGGATCATTTTATACAACCTTATTTGAAGATTAACTGTTTGATCTCTACATTATAGCTGCCTCTATAACCTGAAGTTGTGTGCTACTGCATGGAAAATATTTGGGACTGACCTATCTTTCTATCCCTAATCCTGGCATTGATTTATGAACAGATAGCTTCTTGGAGGTTAAATGATAAGCACCAAGTATTATTTGACATTGTAGTTCTTTACCTGATCGCCGACTTAACTGCCAACTAAACATGTGAACGTCACAGCTCTCTACTGTAGTTCACAAAATCATGAGCTTAAGTTTTAATCAACTGCAAGGCTCAAGTCAGTACTTACCTCATTGTCTGACTCCACAAGTACTTGATCATATTCACTAAGGGCTACTAGAAACATGATAGATGTGACATTTTCAAAACAATGTATCCATTTTCTTCTCTCTGATCGTTGCCCTCCTACATCCACCATTCTGCAAGGTTAAAAAATCCACATTAATTCCAGGAAAAAAGCTTTAAAAAATCAATATGTATCCATTTATGTAATTAATTTCATTGGAAACAGAAAAGGTTTTTTTAAGTCTTTCCATTAGTATTTAAAAGTAACAGTATGTGTTTTGTGGGACAGATAGGTTGTATTTCTTTTTTAAGACCAGTAT